TCATTACACAAACGATATTGTATTTCAAGATCTAATACTCCACGAATATAGATAACCGTTACACTAAATAGAATGTCGCAAATAATCTCGTAGGATATATTTATAAGTTATCACATGTAAACAGCAAAACAAGAAAGAGGCACAACGAAGTGGAAAAAGTTGCAAGTTTTGAAACTATTATTAATAACATTAAGAAAGTAAGGGTTTGAATTATTTTTGTTTTATGTATGACTTATTGATGAATATTCGTCCAAATTGTACCCAATTATATACGCATTCTAAGTAAGACGCAATACTATATAAAAGAATTTGTATTATGTTAATTATTGAATTATGTTATATTAAAACATCTCTGAGTAAACTTTATATAGGTACCATTAAAGGAAACTTGTATACAAGCTAAGTAAATAATAACACATATATTATATTATATACAGTAATTTCAGTTCATTAATATCAGTGACTATTAAATAAAAACATCGCAAGTACAATAAAAAGTGCCTTTTATTAAAAATATTTATAATTCGTTTGTACAAATAACACATATTTTATATCATATACAGTAATGTTATCAACGTAATGCTAAAATCATATACAAATATTCCAAATCGTTTAGAAAGGTCTCCATAAAACATGTGTGTTACGATAGACAGTTACATAACGATTACGAAAATATACTGAACCAGTCTCCAAATCCCTCCACGGTCTCCAAGATTTAAAAGGATTTTTAGCATTATGGAGAGGTTCTAAATGCGAACCTAAAATTTGTTTTAAAATAGACACGTTCTGTTCTGCTTTTTTTTTCGATGTGGTAGTTAAAATTAACGGACAGTGTCTAATCCGTGATAAAAATATGCTTCGCGAACATGTCCACTCATTACTAAAATCTGCTTGAAATTCTACAATTATATTTGGTTTTTTAAAGGACGGACCGGCCACATACATATGGTAAAATGTACTATAAATTTCAATATGGAGCATTATACATCTGAACTTGCATTGAGAACAAAGTTCTTTGTCATAATGATCCTGTTCAAAATTTGGTCCTACTAGTATAATTGTTAGATCCTTTATGTAACGCGTGAGATGTAGAAATATTTCCCAAGCATTTACATGCTCCTTTTCTAAGGAATTTAGTGCTACCACGTGAATAACGCATTTAAATTCATCTATTGTACGTGCGGAAAAAATGAGTGGTTCTAGTAAACCAGCATTTTCCATTCCATAATATAATGTTAGCGGTCCTGATACATAATCACTGTAGAAATATTTAAAACATATTCCAACTAAATCGCTGTATCGTGCGGAAGGACGCACATATATTGTAATAAATGTATTCATGTCATTAAAAGGTATTCTTTGATTTAAAAGATTTGTGAATTTTAACACAGTGAATTTGCTTGCACTAGTCACGATATTAGTGTTGATATATAATACAAACTGTTGGCATTTTCGCTCATGCAAATCTTGAAATAACTGTACATGGTCAATGCAAAAATATTCCGAATAACACGTTCTACAGTGTTCCAAATTAATCTGTGTATGACAAATAGAGCATGATTTTGCAAAAAGAATCATCTGTTCTTCATACGTCTTTAGCTTACGTGGAATCCATTTTTTAATTGTGCTTAGAAATTGTTGTCTTAAATCAATCCAATTAGATAAACTTAAAGCACAGTCTCGACGTATTTCATTCTCTCGTAAAAATCGGTTTATATTTTCACAAATCTGCATATGGTATGGACGATGCAACAATCTGTGTTCAAGAGTGCAATAAGAGATCATATCGCACAGATTACATGATATAAAAAATCCATTGTTTACTTTCTTGCAGATGTGGCAAATGTTTTCGTGAAAGAAGCTATTATAATTATTAATATTAATACGTAGATTGAATTCGTTCACATCGATTACTTTAGAAAAATTACTCATGGTGGGATATTTTGTTCGACGTATGATATCAATTTAGAAATGAAGTGTGTTGCTTCTTGTAA